ATCTTTCATTATTCCTCTGTTCCTCTCCCTTCTCCCCATGTTCTACTTATATCTTCCAGAACATTTCACTCTAATAGGGTGACTAGGACCCCAGTTTGCCTCAGGATGTTATACTAAGCCTCAGTTCCCTTTTGGAAGTGGTCAGCTAGGTAGCCACTATTGAGTAATGGCCATGTCCAGAACCAGATGCAGGTGTCGTGCAGCTGCCCAGACTTCTCTTGGTGGTCTCTTGGCCTTAAGGACCATTAAGTACATGTTTGGCCTGCAGGTGAGTGTCTTCATAATATAGAATAGGAATCTGGATACCAAAAATACATTTTCATCCAGCATCTTAATCGTTATTGAGTTGGGTGCCCAGATTCAGAGTTAGTATACCAGCATGATCTAGTACACAGATCCAACAGTTTCCAGAAGAGTTCTCTTGCCTTTTAACTGTGACCAGCTCAGTATCATTCCTCCCACTCCCCACCCTCATTTTGAACTTTCTTCTTTTTTTAAAAAAAGTACATGTATACTTTCACTTTAACAGATTTACCTGATTTTTGACCAAGAGTCTTTTTTTTTTTTTTTTTTTTTTGAAAGTTTATTTGAGAGAGAGCACAAGTGGGGAAGGGGCAGAGAGACAGGAGGAAAGAGAATCCCAAGCAGGCTCCTTGTGGAGCCCAACACAGGGCTCAAACCCACAAACTGTGAGATCATGACCTGAGCCAAAACCAAGAGTTGGATGTTTAATTGACTGAGCCAGCCAGGTGCCTCAAGAGTCTCTTTTCTGGATGAATGAAAGGAATCAACAAGGAGTCAATGGAATGATATTAGTAGGCAAAGTATGTAACTCAGTGCTTGGCACTTACTGGATTGTGTTAGTTTCTGATTGCAGCTCTAACATTACCATAAGCTTGGTGGCTTAAACCACATAGAACTTTTTATCTGACAGTTCTAGAGGTCAGAAGTCCTAAAATTAGGGTGTCAGCAGGCCTGTATTCTTTCTGGAAGTTTTAGGGGAGAATTGGTTTCCCTACCTTTTCCAGCCTCTGGAGGCTGTCTGCATTCCTTGGCTCATGGTCCTTCATCTTTAAAGGGAGGAATGTAGTGTCTTCAGATGTCTCCTTCTCTCTGATCTCTGCTTTTGTTCTCATGTCTCCTTCTCTAACTCTGACTCTCCTACATCCCTCGTTTTATAACTTTTGTTTTACTGAGATAAAATGCATATACATGAAATTCACAGTTTTAGCCATTTTAAAGTGTACAATTCAGTGGTTTTAATGCATTCACAATTTGTGCATCCATCACCACTGTCTTGTATCAGCCACCTCCCTCTTATGAGGACTTCTGTAATTACATTGGCCCAATCCAGTAATCCAGGATAATCTCCCTGACCTCACAATGCTTACTTAGCTTAATCACATCTACAAAGTCCCATTTACCACATACGGTAACATATTCATAGGGCCTGGGCAATAGGATGTAGACATTTTTGTGGGGCTGTTATTCAGCCTACCACATGGGGTATTCAACAAATGTTAGTGTCTCTTGACCTTCCTTTCTTAATTCAGATACACTAAGCTCTTGCATTACAGCTTTCTAGAGTCTTCATCATCAGAATCCTCTGAGCTCCAATGAAGCATGCTGACCTCAAGAGATAGGAAATACTATAGCACCAGTAATAGTTTATTGGGCACCTAGTGTGCCACTGGGTCACTTAATAGGGGCCTCAGAGGCATTGTCATTTAGCTTTTCATTAGCTGAATTGCTCTGCCAGTATCCACCCTCCTAATACCATAAATATGAAATTTAGCCTCACACCTTGCAGAGATGTGCTCTGATATAGCAGGCAGTGACTTCTGGCTGGTTGTCCATGGACTCTACTCTTTTAATTGAGAGATCAAAGGAATTGCTGATGTTTCTTATAAAATGAAAACATTTTGTATGACCCAGCATCTCCATTCTTAGGCAGTTATTGAAATGCAGTGAAGATGTATGTCCATGCAGAGACTTCTGCTCGAGTGTTCATAGCAACATTATTCACAGTAGCCCCAAACTGGAAAAATCCAAATGGCCATCAGCTGGTGATTGCATAATCCAATTGTGCTGTATCCAAATAATGGATACTACTCAGCAGTTAAAGAGGAACAAAGTGCTCATAACCATGTGGGTGAATCTCAAAATATTGAATAAGATTAAAGAAACCCAACACAAAAGCTATGTAACGAAAGCGTGAATGTCCTTGTACATTTCATTGTACACTTAAAAATGGTTAAATGGCAAATCGCTTGGTATGTATATTTTACCACAGTTTTTTAAAAAGCCGCGTAATGTATGATTATGTTCATATGAAGTTCTAAAATAGGCAAAACCATAGTGGCAGAAAGCATATCTAGTTGGTGTCAGATCAGGGTTCAGGGAGGGGTAGACTTAAAAGGCATAAGGGAACATTTTGGGGAGACAGAAATGTTCTATATCTTGATTGTAATGATGGTTACAGAACTGTATACATTTGCAAAAACTTGTTGAATACTCTTAACGGTGAGTTTCATTGTTTGTAAATTATAGTTCAGTAAAGCTGATTTTAAAAAAAGAAAAAATGGCTAGGAATTTGATAGAATTAAAAAAAAATTCTCTCTACTAATAAATTGTTAGGAGATTTTTCTTTGCTGTTTTATAAAAAGCTTGGGTACCAGATCATAAGTAATAAGATAGAAGGGAATGCTTTGCCTTTTCATCCTTCATTGGGTTACATGAAAGTGTTTAGTAACTGTAAACAACATGGAATGCATTTAGGGTCCACAAAATTACTTGCGAGTTGCCTTAGTGAGACTGTTACCAGCAGTCAGTATTCCCAGAGGTAGAAGAAGGGAGACTGTGCTGTTTCCTAAAAGTGGTCCTTTTGGGATTGAGTTTTGCCTACGTGCCACCCAGAGGGGAGATTTAGTTGCATATTTTGTTGTACCTTTGATGTCAACTTCATTTTGGCTTAAAGGCTTTTGAATAACATTAGGTTGGTAAAAAGTTTCTGAATAACATTAAGGTTGGTGAAAACATCTGTCTTTTTGCAGTGACCTCCCCGGTTCTATTCCAATTCTGTACTTTTTCCCCTTAGACCTTATTCTTATGAATCTCCCTGGGGTATTTGACCTTACTATCATCCCGTCTTTCTCAAGAGCTCCTTTCTCCTTTGGTCTCTAGTGATTTTTCTCCCTGCTGCAGAAGTGATTTCATGATCTCTGTGGCTGGTGCATCTTTGTCGATAGGTCCCCTGTGGGAAGACAGCCCATTGCCCCATTTTCTCTAGGCTCACCCCTTGGGATAGCTTCTCCTTTCCTATGATTCATCTCTTCTGGCACATCTCAAAGCTCTTGTCCCAAGTTCTCCATTAACTTTGTCTTTTATTCCCAGCCACCTCCAGGGTATTTTCATCATCCTTATTTCTCACCATTGCCCAAACTAAACGTATTCCCTTATCTTCCAAGTCCTCACTCATTCTGGGCTTTTCCATGCCTTTGAGACATGGCCATTCTTTCCCCCTCAGGTTTAAAAAAAATTTTTTTTTTAATGTTTTATTTATTTCCAGGAGAGAGAGAGAGAGAGAGAGACAGCGTGAGCAGGGGAGGGTCAGAGAGAGAGGGAGTCACAGACTGAGACAGGCTCCAGGCTCTGAGCTGGCAGTCAGCACAGAGCCCGACGCGGGGCTCGAACCCACGAACCGCGAGATCATGACCTAAGCGGAAGTCGGACGCTTAACCGACTAAGCCACCCAGGCACCCCTCCCCCTCAGGTTTAAAACCTGAAGCTCTGCTAGTTTCTCTTTTTCCTCCATCTCCTATTCATTTCAGACCTTCTCTGTGTCCTCTGGGCACTCTCCCTTCCCCTCAGTCTTTTCAATACTACTTTAATCTGTATCTTTTTGTCACAAGGTACATGGCAGCCCCATATTTTTGAGTGAAAGCTGCTGCAGGATGACAAGGTTTCACAATTTGGGGAGCCACTGTGTCACCAAATCTATGTGTCAGAACCCTATTATGATGACTGAATCACTAGGTTGGCTTTGCTCTTACAGCACATCTCTTGGGATGCTCTGGAAAAGTTTATTGTTTCCTTTTATGTGTACAATGTCTCCTTTGCTGCCACACTCTCTGATTTTTTAATTGCAGACAGCTTTTCCTTCTCTCATGAATTTACAACCATGCCTCCCCTGTACCCCGCAGTCCTGGTTTTGTCATTTTATGATACCTTTGGGATCATAAACTTACGGTTTGCTGCCTTTGTGTTCTCTCTGAGCAGTTCCTTATTTCTCCTCACACAACACTACCTTAATCTTCCAGCTGGAAACCAAAACTGAAGCACCTGCGATTACAGATTTTCACGCATTTTGTTCCTATTAATCACCAACTGTGTGGGTCTGTTTTTACCCCTTTTGTATTTTCCTCTCTGGTTTTATTTGGGAGGTAATAAGATTTTTTTTTTTCCCATAAATTCTCTCCCAGTGGCCTTCATTCTTTGATAGCATTTGTACAAGGTACTTTGTAGGCTCGGGTACAGAGTTGAAGGAAACAGGGAAAACTCTGTTAATAAGAGAAAACCCACAAAATGCAAGTCACGTTCTCCTGCGCTTGCTCTTCAAAGGGGAGTGCTGGCCACGGATTTCTTAGAGTTTATGTTCTCAGAAATAAGAAAGTCATATGTAATTTTTCCCTTATTTATTTTGGTGGTAGAAGGTGTGTTTCAGTAGTGAAAGGTTGATTAATTATTTCAGCAAATGGGTATTTTAAGGTGTTTCATTTCAGTTATTTTTTTCAATCAGAGAAATCTAGTAAACCTGTTTCCGGGTTTTGAAATAAAGGCTTTACAATAAAATGTAAAGAGCATTCTCAGGCCATTGGAAAAATTGAAGTTGTTATCAGATTTGGAATGAAGTAGCCAGAGGCCTTGAAGAACTTACGTTTTCTGCATCACAAAGTGATACTGTGTTTATTTACTTTCCCTTTTATCTTTGGGCCTTCTAGAGGGGTGTTTGATGCTTCCCTCAAAATGGCTGGCTTCTACGGATTGTACACTTGGCTGACTCATACTATATTTGGCATCAATATTGTCTTCATACCATCAGGTAACAATAGTGTCCTAACTTCCACTGTCTTCTATTAAAGGAAAATGAAGCCATCTAACATATATTGGGAAATGTCATCTTCTTCAAATTTAAAATACTAAAGTTTGAGATCTAATCTAGTCTGGATTAGGAGCAGAAGTATGATTTGTAGTGTCGATTTATGTAGTATCTCCACTAGCTAGGAGGCACTGCATAAGTATTTGGTAAATAGTGAATGTCCTAGCACTTAACCCAGCATCCAGTACTCAGTAAATCCTTGGTACTCAGTGGTAATTGGCACTCAGTAAATGTTTGAATTGAACTGATAGGGAGCACTGAGTTGGTCAAATAGCTTTGTTCCATGAAGGATACTGTCCCAGGGGCAAAACAAATGCCTCTGAGGGCACATAAACTGTCTACATACCTCATAGGATCGATTCTGATAATGCCCTTGTTACACAAACACCTTGGTTGTTCAATAACCATCTTTTACTTTTTACTCTGCATTATCTCTGTTCCTCTCCTTCCACTTTTCCTTTATTTCTGTGGCTGCTTGTCTACCCTTTACCACCATTTCCCCCCTTTTGACCACACTCTCTTCTTTACATCCCCAAGTCCATTCATGTTCTTCCCTACTTCAGTCAGGTAAGCCACTCTTTGACCTGCAAGCGGCCTGAGAGCACATGGAGGTCATTGTTTTATAATGACCTTGTGAGGCAGGCAGCGTAGGTGGTGTTCCTGTTGTGTAGGTGAGAAACCAAGGTCACATACCTGGTTAGTGGTAGGGCCAGAACTAGAATCCACATCTGCCTGATTACCTCTGGAGGGGAGCCAGATGAGAGAGAGGGAGCATACAGCTCTGGAAGGGGGTGAGCTTGAAGTAACATCATCCTTCAACTAGCAGGGCTTTTGTTCTTGTTTTTGTTTAGATTACATTCATTTTTATTAGAAAGAAGCAAGGTAAAGATTACACATTCCTCTCTGAGGTTTAAAATTTTTTTTTAATGTTTATTTATTTCTAGGAGAGACAGACAGAGTACAAGCTAGGGAAGGGTAGAGAGAAAGGGAGACAACAGAATCCAAAGCAGGCTCCAGGCTCCAAGCTGTCAGCACAGAGCCCGACGCAGGGCTCGAACCCACGAACTATGAAATCATGACCTGAGCTGAAGTCAGAAGCTTCATGACCAAGCCACTCTGGCGCTCTGTCCTCTCTGAGGTTTAATTTTTAATTTGGCTTTGGACTCAGCACAAACTTGGACCAATGCTTTACAGTTACATTATAGGACTATATATGAACTAACCATTGATTCAAAATATCAACTGCAGGGGCCACCTAGGTGGCTCAGTCAGTTCAGCCTCTGACTCTTGATTTCAGCTTAGGTCAAGATCTCATGGTTGTGAACTTCAGCCCCATCGTGGTGAAATCAAGCCCCAAGTAGGGCTCCGTGCTGGGTGTAGAGCCTGTGTAAGATTCTGTCTTTCCTGCCCTCTCTCTCCCTCTGCCTGTCCCCTGCTCGTGAAAGTGCTCACTCGCTTGCTCTCTTTCTCTCTATGAAAGAAAAAAAAAGAGAGAGAAAAACAACCACTGCAGGATACTAGAATTTTGTTGCTTCAGAAGAAACTCAGGATGTAGACCCACACTTTGGAAAGATTTTCAGCATCAGATCTTAAGATAAATCAGACCTCCATTTAACTAGCAGATTCAGTTAAACAGGGCATTATCCTATGCTAAACTTTGAGTTTGTATTTGTCTCACTTGTTTTGGTGTAAACTTTTAAGTAGGAGAAACTAGTGCTGAGGTTCTGCTGTTTTGTTTGTTTTCATGTTACGTTAGGTTGCTTTTCCTTTCATTTCTTATTAGCTTTAGCAGCAATCCTCGGAGCGGTGCCGTTTCTGGGGACATACTGGGCAGCAGTACCTGCAGTTCTAGACCTGTGGCTCACACAAGGCTTAGGGTGCAAAGCCATCTTACTGTTGGTTTTTCATCTCTTGCCAACATACTTTGTAGACACTGCCATCTACTCTGATATATCAGGGTAAGTACCCACAGAACTTCTCAAGTTGCTGGTGAATCCTAGGGGTTTATGTGGCCTTTTTTAAGGAGAATTGTTTGTTTGCTTGTTTTGTTTGTCTTTTGGGGATGGGAAAAGGGACATGTGGTAGGATTTTTAAGTGACGTAGTCTTTTGATATAACCAAAATTTAATACCATTGGGTATTAATTATATTTTCTTATATAAGTATTATTTATAATACATGAGACCCTGGGTTAACACAAAATTGTGTATAATCTTCTGTTTTAGTGACATTTAATCTAGGAAAGAAATATTACTAGATGTACATAAAATAATTTTAAGTACAATAATGAATTAGTGATTATTTTTAGAACTTCTTTTCTTTTGGAGAAAAACATTAAGTTGTATGAAGATTTCCACGTTGCAACCAAATCTCATCAAGTTAATGTCTGATAAGCAGAGCTCTCTTTACTTAAGATATTTTAGTATGGTTCTATGATGAATACAGGTTAAATGTAAGACAGAATCCAAACATTGACCGTATAATATAATGAATAAATACCTGTTTTTATAAGTTTTGGTATTTATTTAAAAAATTGCATTAAGTAGATCAGTCAATTCTCTTTAGTCATGTATCCATTTCCCATTGCTTGTTAGAATCTAGGACGTGACCAAATGCTGAACTTTAATCAGGTACCCAAATTCAGAATGTGCCTACTGAAACTATCATAACAGGCAATATATTAAATTTTCTGTAAGTAAAACTCACCACCTCAATAAGTGTTCATGGAAAGAGTGCCCTTCAGCTAATTTGAAATTCTAAAGGGACAAAGTGCTACCTTGTTTTCTCTTTAGTAAGTTCAAGCAGAAAACAAATGATATATAACCACCCTGAAGCCTCAGACCTCCCAAGCAAAAGGAAAGCAGCAACTTCATACGCAAACCTTAGTGGCACTTTTATGTCTAAAATTTGAAAGAGAAAATGAAAGACAAAAGGAGGATGTCAGAGTGTGGTTAACTAGTGCTTACCAGCTGAAATTTAAACAGTAGGAGTAGTTACGTGATTTATGGTTAAATGTTTTCATTTCTCTAAACTTTGCTGTAAATTTTTTTATTGAGGCTTCTAGCTAGAATTTAAAATTTATGTGATTTTATCTTAGTAATAAAATAATACCTTATTTATTCATTTATTTTTATTTTTATTTATTTCTAGGAGAGAGAGAGACAGCGTGAGCAGGGGAGGGTCAGAGAGAGAGGGAGTCAGAGACTGAAACAGGCTTCAGGCTCTGAGCCGGCAGTCAGCACAGAGCCCGATGCGGGGCTCGAACCCACGAACCGCGAGATCATTACCTAAGCGAAAGTCGGACGCTTAACCGACTAAGCCACCCAGGCGCCCCAATAATACCTTATTTAAACAGCACCATCAGGAAATGAAAGATTTTGTGTAAATTGCTTTATTTTTTCAATAAATGAAGCCTTAATTTAAGAGCTTCCCCCCTTTTTTTTTTTAACTGTTAAGAAGCCTTTTTGATAGAAAAAGTTTTCAACGAATTACTTAAGGGAAAAGCTTACTTATGTAGCATATGTGGAATACTGCCCTAAAATTTTTCCCCCAATTTTTTTTTTAATGAGGAAGATAGGTTATGAAGATAATGTATTGGTTTTCTGAAGACTAGCTCACCTTACATGTTCTCTATTGAATTGTAACATGGTATAGAACAGAACATTGTTCCAGAGTGTTTAGCTGTTTGCCCCTAAATATTCCAGTCATCTGTGTTTGAAAACTAGAAATAGAACATAACCTTATTCCAAGTCCGTCTCATGTCCGTGGTCCTTTGTTGCTGTTGTCAGTGTGCCGTGGTGCTGTGATCTACCTTACTGTGTGCCGCTTACGTGAGTGACTCTCTGAGAAGCTGGAGGGCAATTATGACTCTGCTGTGAAATAGAAATCTTGGGCTTTGTGACGGATAGTTCCCTCATGCAGCCTTTTATCATTACCTGTGTTTAATAACTATTTTGGAGGTTGCCACAAGTCTAACTTAGGAATATCATGGATGCTATTGTATTGTTGTCTTCTGAAAAGCACAGTTATTTTAATTACACACTAAATTGTGCCCACTTAACTACCCTTTTTTTTTTTTCTGTTTTATTTAATATTGTAACAGAGAGAAACAGAGCATGTGCGGGGGAGGGGCAGAGAGAGAGGGAGACACAGAATCCGAAGCAGGCTCTAGGCTCTCAGCTGTCAGCATGGAGCCCGATGCGAGGCTCGAACTCACGAACCGTGAGATTGTGACCTGAGCCAAAGTCAGCCACTTACCCGACTGAGCCACCCAGGCATCCCCTCACTTAATCATTCATGATGGAAGTTAACGTAACATACGTCTTAGCAACCATTCCTCAGCCAACACTAACCTAGGTCAGGCAGCCATGTAAGGGGTGTAGGATACCTACCTATTAACAGTCCTACTTCATTCCTTCAGTTGCTGGACCTTATAAAAAGGCAAATGTTGTACATGTTACATAGGTAAGAAAATGTTTGCATCTCATTATTATTACGACTAATGTTTAGTTCTCTGTACTGAGGTAATCTAAAGAAAACTGGTCATGGCAATCAAAGGCCTCGTATGTTAGGAATGAATGTTGTGTTAGAGATGTGTTTCAGATTGATTCCAAAGTTTATGTGTGTTAAAAGCCATGAGCTAATCTGTATGTTCTTTATTTCAGAGGTGGCCATCCTTACTTGACAGGCTTGGCAGTGGCTGGTGGGGCATACTACTTAGGCCTGGAAGGAGCAATCATTGGGCCCATACTTCTCTGCATACTCGTGGTCGCTTCCAATATCTACAGTGCCATGCTAGTGAGTCCCACAAATTCAGTGCCCACGCCAAACCAGACCCCATGGCCTGCTCAGACTCAGCGGTGAGTTAAAGCAGAATGATCCTGAACCCTGAAACTGAACTATCCTGTCTCTGTATTTTTTTCACCCGAGTAGTCTGTCAGCATATAGGTATTTTGGTGCACGTGCACTGCTGAAGATTGTAGAAGACACTAAGGAAAGAGAAACCATTTGTCTGCAGACTTTGGGGTTTCAGATACTAGGAAAATTTAAAAACTAAATTGGGACAGAATTGCTCATGTCCTGGAAGACCAAAAATAGATTAAAAAATTTAAAAAGCCACTTGGACATGGTGTACCCAATTAAAGGAGTCAGGCCATCGGACAACCAAATGCAATGCAAGAAGTTGGATTAGTGATGGGGAGAATCTATAAAGAACATTTCTGGAACAATTGAAGACATCTGAATATGAGCTGTATATTAAATGGTATTATTATATGAGTGTTAAATTTGATAGGCATGATCATACTTTGATTGTATAGCAGAATATCCTTTAGGGGTGAGATGCCAAGATGTCTGCAACTTATTTTCAAATAGTTCAGCCAATACTAATAGACAAAGTAACTATAGCAACATGTTAACAATTAATGAAGGATATATGGTTGTTAATTGCACTAGTTTTTCAGTTTTTCTGTAGGTTTATACTTTTTCTTTTTTTTTTTTTTTTATAAATTTTTTTTTTTTTAATGTTTTATTTATTTCTAGGAGAGAGAGAGACAGTGTGAGCAGGGGAGGGTCAGAGAGAGAGGGAGTCACAGACTGAAACAGGCTCCAGGCTCTGAGCTGGCAGTCAGCACAGAGCCTGACGCGGGGCCCGAACCCACGAACCGCGAGATCATGACCTAAGCGAAAGTCGGACGCTTAACCGACTAAGCCACCCAGGTGCCCCGGTTTATACTTTTTCAAATTAAAAAGTTGGAGGATCCCTGGGTGGCTCAGTCAGTTAAGCATCCAACTCTTGATGCAGCTCAGGTCATGTTCCATGGTTCGTGAGATCGAGCCCCGCATCGGGCTCTGTGCTGAAGATGCAAAGCCTGCTTGGGATTTTTTCTCTCTAAAAATAAATAAACATTCACGTTAAAAAGTTGGGGAAAAATTTTTGAGTGCACCAGGATGGAGTTACAACTTGTTATTTTGCACATACAGACAGACACTGAACTCATAATTGCTGTCATTTGCTGTCACCAACATATCATAAGATAAATTATAATGTAGTATGAATTATAATTTAAAATTTTTTCCTGATTATGTCAAAATTTAAAAAAAAAACTTTTTTTAAAATTTATTTTTATTTATTTTGAGAGAGAGCACCAGCAGGGGAGGGGCAGAGAGAGAGAGGGCGGGGAGAGAATCCCAAGCAGGCTCCACACTGTCAGCACAGAGCCCTACACTGGACTTGATCTGACAAACTGTGAGATCATGACCCGAACCAAGATCAAGATCACCTGTATTAAGGTATAGAGTATTTCCTTTACCTTAGAAGGCTTCCCCATACACCCTCCCAATCAGACCCCTTCTCTGCTTATAGTCTGACCACTGTCACCTTAGATTGGCTTTGCCTGGTTTTGAACTTCACATAAAAGGAATCACATAGTAAATTCTTGGGAGTCAGGCATCTTTTGCTCACCATTGTGTCTATGGCATCCACCCATGTTTTTACGTGTGAAGATCATTCTTTCTTTATTGCCACCTGGTATTCCATTATGCAAATAGACCACAATTTACTCGTTGCAGTATTGATGGACATTTGTGTAGCTTCCAGTTTCTGTTCTGAATCTTTCTTGAGGTACATGTCTCCTGGTAGAAACGTGAACCTCGTTTGTATAGCAAGAAGTGAAATGGCTAGGTGCACATCCAGTTTAACTCTAGTGAATATTTGTTAAACAGTTTTTCTTTGTGGTTGTCCCAGAAATCACATGTTAACAACAGAAAGGTAGGACAGACTTTTAACAATGAAAAAGTAAGAAGTCTCAGAATACAGGATTTTAACATTTCTGAGACTATACTACATTGCCCTTACTATTCTCAAATGGAAAATTTTTTTTTTCTGACATTAGGTGTTCTATTGTCATTGAGGAGTCATTAACAAGTTTATTCTGAGAATATATTTACTGAAACTATATTTTTATTTAAAATTCTTTAGAAACATGGTCTGCTTATTTTGTGTTAAGTGTTATATTTTGTGAATACAAACTTGGTCCTTTAAGCTTTATCTCAAAACAGTTAGAATATAGTTTCTGAGTTAGACCCAGTTGGTTAGAGGGCCATTTATTTTAGCTAATGCAAGGCACATACTTGATGGCAGGGAAAAATCTGTTTCCTTAAGAAGAATAAAAGGAGAGGCACTTATGTAGTTTTAACAAAAGCCGTTTTGAAGATGGTGACACTATGACATCCATTTTTGCCTTTGCCTCTTAAAGGCAATTAACGTGGGTACCTGAGAAACCAGTGGACAGTTGCTTGAAAGCTAACTAGAACCCTGCTCCTTGGGTATCCATATAAGAAACAGAGAGAACGTTGGTTGATCAATGTTTTGCTGTTATTTTATTTATTATTTTTTTTAACTTGAGTAATTAAGTTGTTTTTTTTAATAATTTATTGTCACATTAGCCAACATACAGTGTATACAGTGTAGACTTAGCTTTGGGAGTAGATTCCCATGATTCATCACTTATATACAACACCCAGTGTTCATCCCAAGTGCCCTCCTCACTGCCCATCTTCCATTCCCCCCACCCCCCATCCCCATCAGCCCTCAGTTCTCTGTATTTAAGAGTCTCTTATGATCTGCTTCCCTCTCTGTTTCTAACTTGTTTATCTTTCACTTCCCCTATGGTCTCTGTTAAGTTTCTCAAATTCCACATATGGGTGAAAACATATGATATCTGTCTTCCTCTGACTTATTTCACTTAGCATAATACCTTCCAGTTCCATCCATGTTGTTGCAAATGGCAAGATCTCATTCTATTTCATTGCTGAGTAGTATTCCATTGTGTGTGTGTGTATGTGTATACACACATATACATACTTACCACATCTTTTTTTTTAATGTTTGTTTATTTTTGAGAGACAAAGCATGAGTGGGGGAGGGGCAGAGAGAGAAGGAGACACAGAATCTGAAGCAGGCTCCAGGCTTTGAGCTGTCAGCACAGAGCCCGATGTGGTGCTCGAACCCACGATACGTTAGATTATGAACTGAGCGGAAGTCAGACACTCAACCGACTGAGCCACCCAGGTGCCCCCTACATCTGCTTTATCCATTCATCAATTGATGTACATTTGGGCTTTGCTGTTATTTTAGGAAAACTTACAGCAATTCCAAGTTAGTAAAGCAGGAGTTGGTTTTTAAGGTGAAACAAAAGAAACTAATATAAATCCAGAGACAAATGACATCTTTCCCTGTCTCCCTTTTGAAGGCAGAATGTTGTTAACTAGGTGAGATGGGGGTTGGAAAAATATAATGTGAGGGCTTTTATAGTCTTCATCTTTTTTTTCCCTTAAAAGTTATGTATACATGTAGCTGAAAGAGTCAAAAATTTCTACCAAGCTTGTTGTGAAAAATATCCTTTCCTTTTTCCTCTCCCTTCTGCTCTGAGAGGAACTACTTTTTGACTCTAATTTGGTTTTTACCTCCATATCTTGAAATAGAATCTTTCTTTCTTAATTTTTTTTTCATGAATAGGCATTTTCTTTTTACTTCCCAGTTGGAAGGTGAGAAATTAGCTCTTTTACTACCACCCTCCCGCTATTAAACCGTGATATTGGTTCGATCAGTATTTGGTGCTTACAGTATTATGACTGTAAATTATATTCCTATTTGAACCTTTTTGTATATTCTGTCTGTATTTCCTTTATATAACTTTTTGCTTTCCTTTGAGTTATAAAGAAACTGTTTTATTGTTGACTTTGTTTTCTGAGTACTTATAACTAACCTCAAGCTATGTGCCCGGCGTTTACATCTCCTCTTGCTCAGGATATTAGATGCATCAAGTACGCTACAAGTTCTGTCTCCCTGACCCAGTCTCTGCTGGCCTTCGCCTCTGCTCCAGTGGGAGCTGGCTGCCCTTTCGTCTGCTGTTCAGCTCTCAGCTGTCATTCCCTCAGCTCTCCCCTGTGTTGGAATTCTTACTTCCTGTATAATTTCCCATATCATTTACTTTCTTGACTTATTTCCTTTTTGTTGGAGCACAACCTCCTATAGATTTTTGGGAAAGAATGCATAGGAAGTGAATTCTGGGTGATGATGCATGACTGAAAAGAGTTTTCCTAAGGTCGTACATAATCAGTAGCTTGCCGAGGTTGAGAATTTTATGTGTGAAAATTTTTACCTTTAGACCTTTAAAAAATTTCTTCATTGTGTTCTGGCTTCCATGGTTGTTAAAAGTCTGAAGCTATTCTGATTGCCAATTCTTTGTAATTTAACTATTTGAAAACCGGTAGGATCCTCTTTTTTTATTTTACTTTTTTTGGTTGATGTTCTGATTGGTACTTGATGAGACCTTTAAAATTGGAAACTTGTGTTCTGCAGTGCTAAAGATTTTCTTGAATTATTTGACTTCTGATTTCCTTCTCGCCCTTTCAGAAACTTATTTTGATGTTGAGTCTCATACACTGGTCATCTCATTTTCTTATCTATGCTTATTTGTTTCCATTTTCTGGGTGATTTCTTCAACTTTATCTTCCAATTCCTCCATAGAGATTTCCACTTTTATCACATTTTTTTCAGTCTTTCAGGCATACTGTAGCTGCATCGTCTGCTTCGGGTCTGACCAGGCTGCAGGCAAGGTGTCAGCTGGCACTGGGGTTTTATCTGCGGGTTGGGTTTCAAGCTTGCTTCTTGTTGGCAGAGTTCATTTTCTTGCTCATGTAGAACTGAGACTCGCAGCTCTCCATGGGCAGTTTCCTAACAGGGCTGTTTGTGTCTTCGAGCCAGCAGAAGAGCATTTTCCTGACTTCTGTTTCTGACCACTAAGATTCTTTTTTAAAGACCTTGCCTGATTAGGCTTGGCTCACCCACTATGCT